GAAGATCTTCATGTGGGCAAAGCAAACTGTGATCTGAATGTGCAATAAATGGTGAGTGAGACTGTGCCTTAGGATTGCCTGCAAGCAGCTATCACACCAAAATGAAAAACAACTTGCTGACACTAGATTTTAATAAACATTAAGACATTAACTAACCTGAATTATAATAGAACTTTTTACAGTGTAAATAGACAGTGGAAGTCTTTCCGTCTAATACTTGAAACAGGCTTAATTATCAGGACTGTGAGGCCATCAAAACGCCTCTGGTTCTGTTTCAGCATACAGGGAGTGCCTCTGCCTGTTGGTTCTCATTACGCACTTCTGGTATGCTCCACCAGGACCCAGGAGATGTGAACAAACTCATAAAATTGTTCATCTTGGCTGCGGTTAGTAACGCAGCGAGCAGGAAAACAAGGGTGGAGGGATGCTGCTTCTCTGCAGAACACTGAGATGGGACTATTTCTTTGCAAAAAGCGTCATGAGCTTTCATTTACTATTACAGTGACAGCTGTGAATTTATCTACGGGTGGAAATACTTTTTTTTAAGAATAATTTTATAACTTCATTTAGGAGGTTATTATAACGACCCACCCTGTTTTTCTCAGTCCCTAATCAGTTGACAACGGCAGCCTAAAAGACCTTTCCTCCGTCACAACTTTTGTCTTGATCACATCTAGATTTTTCTCCTAGTAAGCTGATTTTCTACAAATCTGTACAAATTCTGCATGTTTTCTTCCATCAGATAAGAGGAACGGATCACAAGCCACTTTCTTAAGAAAGTCAGGATAATTATTCGCAGAGGATAATTATAACGTGGGGAAACTGAAGAACAGGAACACGAAGTAACTTGACCTAGTTCTCCTGGAGAACAGTGGCAGAGCTGGAGAGAGATGGCAGCGCTCATGGGCCCCCGTCCTTTTATCCTCCATCCCTGGGGTATCCTTTATGTCTGTAACGAGGGAGCTCAAGGATGCTGCGGTATCAGCCATGGCCATGAGATAAATCCCTAATCAAACAAAGAAAACCTCACATGGGCTGTGAGGAGATGAATCCATACTTCCAGACCCTGAAAATATTTCAGAGCCCACAGGCGAGCAGGGGCAGTGGGTACCACTGCTACGAATATTCCCGGGTACCGCCGCACAAAAAAAGCTCCTTACAAATCAAGACCTGTAAATAACAACAAGGAGAAAGGGGTAAGTAATTCTTCCACCCTGCCAAGAACCACTTGCAATTCGATGCACCGACGCACCTGAAAGCTGTTGCTGAATTTATGGGGAGACAGCTTGGAAAAGCCTCAAAGTAATTTTTCCCTGCTCTAACTTGCACACTACAAAGAAGAAGGAGGATATTACACAGCATTGCAGAATCAATAGTTATTGTGGAAATTATCGGTTTGATGTCAAGGCCAATTAGTTGCAAGTGGAATTAGCACATACCATGTGCGGGAAGACAAGTACACGTTCTTCCCTAGATGGGAAAGGTGTTGGCTACCAAGGACCTCCACACAGGTGTGCACAGAAACTTCGTAATTAGCATCAGATTTCCCAATGCTGAAAAACCTAACACCAGCTTCTCTCGGTACACAAGAGTCTGCAGCAATGACCTGATCTGTTCTGCAGACCAGACTGACCCTTTGCATTTGGATTTTACACCAAAGAAAGGCTATATCTGGCCAACCCAACCATGTTGGAGAACCATGCTGGCTGAGATCAACTCAGAACACCATCTTAACCCTACACATTGCCGTTACTGCCCTGAGTTGCACCAACAGAGATTTTATTCCACCTTACAGCTAGGATTTATTACATTTCATGGACTGATCTATGCTATGCCTGATTTGGCTACTGAGAAAGAGTCCAACACTTGAGATTAAATCCTGCTGGAAGATGAAGTGCTTTAGAGGAGAAGATAAGAACAGATGCAGGAGTGGGGAACACGCAAAGCTTGTCATACTAAAGGGAATCGGCTGCATGAATTTTATCAAATCTAATTTTCAGGACTTCCACGCAAAGTGGTGTAAAACTGAATGTTTTTGCAGGAGCTTAATCCACACTTTGAATGTCACCCTGGGAGCAGCCAACGCTGAAGAAGACCTTGCAGAGCCCAGGGAGGAAGGCAGCCCCGGGACTCCACGCACACCCCTTCAGCTTCTCCTCTGAACCTCGACTTGCCTGCCGAGCCAACCGCCCCACCCCATGTCCACAAAACCAGTTCCTCAGCTCAGGGGGGAGCTGGCATCTGTCACCACTGTCACTGAGCAACCAATTCTTTCCGTAAAAGGCTTGCAGGGCCAAAGGGGATTTTTTTTCCTCTAGCTTATTAAAGCAAGTGAGATGCACCAAGTTGCTTTGCAGCCTGCGATCTGCAGGCGATTGCACTTTGGAATACAATAAACAGTAGAGTAAGCTTGGCTTACCGTGTTACGTTACCCTTGGCGGCACTTGGTGGGCAGCAGACCTCAAAGATGTTCATGTAAATGGCACTGACCCCTGAAATAAGGAGAGCTGCCGTGATACACACTTGGGCACCGGTGATGACAATGTCTGCCAGTCAGGGACAGCATTTAGGTGAGGAGGGAGGGGTACAACAGAATCCCTTGGACTTACAGAACGACATGCAGAACGTCTTCACTGGGATAACTTGTGCAAATAATGTCATCTCCACGTATCCAGCAGCAATTCCTCAGGATAGTTCCTCTGTTGTTATTTATTTTATCCTCAAATCAGCTCTGCATCCATTTTGCCGAAGTGAGGCACCATTGTTGTGGTGAAAATGGAAACAAACTACTCATGGATGTCGAAACACAGAGACAACTCAACTGGGGTGATCACCCATGTCCTGAGCTGCGAGACTCCCAGAACTGAAATCTGCGGAAATCCTACTGCACCAACGCTCCGCGTCCACACCAAAACCCTGACACCTTTGGGCTCTGCGCTTCTTTTGCAAAAACAGCCTCAGCTTTCTGGGGAGGTCTGGAAGCTGTGGCTAATACTGAAGTTCATGTGCTACCGGTGCCATCCAGAGGTACTTGGGTGTAGCACACAGCTCTGTGTCTGCAAGAACTACCACACAAGTGAAAGAGAGGACCTGTGCATAATCTTCTGTATCAGACTTTAAAGTAAACTTGCCATGAAATAAATGAAAAATAACAGAAAAGAGAATTATCTTGCCCATCGGCTTTCATTCTCTTTGTTTTTTCTGTCTCCCTCAATATTAACTGTGTGTTCTAATTTTCCACGTACACTAAATCAGTCATTCTTAAAAATATATACATCTCTGACCCCTCTTGGCAAACACGAGCTATTTCATTTTACTCACCATCGCTTAAAACAAGACCACCTCAATTTAGAGAGACACTTATCTGTATTTCATTGCCATAAAACAGTACATGATGTCAAATAACAGCAACCACGCATTAAAACAGGAAACGTAACCGTGGAAAACAATCTTTTTTTCCCCATCTCAAACAGTTGGTGACTCCCTTTCGGCTGTGAAAACATGACTCAGACTCAGTACAAGAAAATGTTTTTCCAGCATATGATTATACATGTTTATATGTGTGCGTATTTCTACAGTTTATGGCAGCTGCCTGAATACTTCGCATGCAGCACCACCTGTGCCATGTTTTATGATGGGCAGAGTATGTCACAGAAGATATCTGTTCAGCAGCAAAGGTCTAATTTACTTGTGTGCAGACATACTCCTTCACTGACACCCATATCTGTGTGACATTAAGATGTGGATTCGCAAAGTGATCCCATTAATATCAGAATAAAATCAACCGCTGAATCCTTATTTTCTCCTTTAGGAAATTAATGGGATTACACAGATTACAGACAAATAATCCCAACAGCACAAACGATATACTGTCTTTTTTAATCTTTGGGGTTTTTTGAGCTTTATTCAGCTAGATAATTGATTTTGAGATGTACGATATACACGATACAAATATACCTAACTACAATACACTCGTATCTATCTTTTTTTTCTCAGAAATCATCACTTACTGGTCCATTAGAATTAAGGCACTGGGTATTATTTTATCACGTTGCACAACCAAAAATAAATTTGAGAAACAGATTGACTTGAAAAGTAACTAAAAAACTTTTTAGATAGCCTATGGCAAGCACCATTCTCACTCTGCACTCGGGTCTCCCATCAGCAGCTGCAGGGAGGCAGCTCTCGGGTCAATGAAAGCACAGGATCATGGAGACACCCGCCCGAAGAAAGGTTTGAAGGGTCATTTGAAAGAGGCGAGTGAGCCGGCAGAAGCCTGCACGCTGATAAGACGGGAAGTGGAGAAACAGCTCTCACGTTCCAGACATCTCAGTGCTGAATACGTGTCTGGAGGAAACAGCAGACATATGGAGTCCTTCAAAAAGCTGAGAGATATGACCCACAGAGTTGACAATCTCATTTGAAAATCTTAACCCTGCTAGGAGTTTCAGACATGTCTTATATCAAGTGTACAACACTTCCATGCAGCAGCAAAAAAACACAAAATAAGCAAAACCCAAGAAACACACCAGTTCTATGCACTGTGATGAAAAAAATTACAACAGTAATTTAACAGAAAATATTTCTTTAAAAGATCAAAGACAATATGTTTTCCCCTTCCTGCCACTTTCACACACACAGCGTTTTCCCAAATTGCATTTTGCAAATGAAAATGTCATCATCCACCCGAGCCTAACTGCTGCACAAGGAGGTGTTTGTTCAGACAACAAATGCAAGCGTACATTGACGGCAAATTTGTGCCACCAACGGGAAAAGATCAGGAAAAGGCATGAAAAAAAATCTGGTCTTGCGCATTTGTTTTAAATGTGTACCAGGTTCCAAACCGTGAGTCCTTTTCCTTCAGAAATTAACATGTTGTATGTAAATTAGAGTGCAGCGTCATTTAGCAGAAAGGTAAACACAAAAATCATTATCAACAATTATTTCCCCTCTTTCCTTGATTGCCCCCCTGGAGCGCAGGGTGTAGGGTTTGCACTGACCTGTACTTCCCCGTCCGCACTTGCAGAGCTCTCATACCGCACCGCTGGGCACCTCCGACATCATTCACGATATCATCTCCAATCATGATGGCCTGTCAAAGCAATGAAATACAGAAAAACTGGCGTCAAGCGGATTTTATTCCTGCCATACGTCACACTCCTTTGACATAACAAACAACTTGATCTGATGCTTAATACTGCCATCAGACAAAATAAACAAGATAATATTGTCATCGTATTGATTAAAAGTCATCCCACCTTGAAAATAAGTCATGCTTTAGCTTCTCGAGCAATGTATTGGTGCAGTACACATCTGTACAATTTGTAATCAATCACAAAAATCAAAGTGATTTGGCACAGAGTTCAAAGATGTTGAATTTTATGAACTAAGGCCTGTTCTGTTCCTAACGATCCATTCATATTATGCTCCGAGCAGTTTAAATTAAGCTTAACTTTTTAAAAATTTTGAAATACGTAAACTCGATTGAGTAGATTACCTAAAAATATAACTGAGAAAAGACCTTCTGGTTAAGATTTGTCTGAGTGTCTGATGAAAACATGTAGCATGCACGCTGCCTTCCTAACTTTGTTAAATATCTTTGTTAAATTGAAGCATCTCAACCGAGGGGTCTTCTTCATTGACAACCACGTCTACAAAAACTCAAGTGCTTATTATCATCCTGCATTTAAAATGATGACATTTATTTTATTCTTCAAATTTAAAAATGGTTGGCCTGGGGTCATTTTATAGTGTCAACAAAACCCAGAATATACATGAAATAGTAATCTTCAATTAATAAACAAAAAATCAGCTTTCAACCATCTAAAGGCGTTCTGGATTACTCTGAAGAGAACAGAGACACCACCTAAAGCTGGGGAAACACACTAGCTTTGAAAACATGCAATTTAGCTTCTCTATCCAATTTTAAAGCGTGCTTTTGCACCTTTTGTATCAAAGTTGAATTTTATCTAAAATATATTAATTAGTTGCATCTTTAACCATTTAATCTTCGTCTTGTTGAATTAGCCTCCTGCTTCATAAGCATGACTGCCAGGCTCTCACAACCACGGCACCTTGCAACTCTAGAAATTCCTGCCTGAATTCCCATTCCTCCCATGGACCTTTGATTATTTTCATACCTGCACGGCAGATCTGCAGAGTCGCTATGCAAAGGGTTTCTTTTCTTACTAAAGAAATTGCTCTTACGTTTTGTGTGGTTTGAGCTTTTTCTAGGGTCTCTCGTGACGGGTTCTTGTCCCACGTATGGGGCTTGGGAGGTTAAAAGGCATGTTGGCAAGGGATTGCCTTAGATGGTGGCGAGGTTACTGAGAGCAGCACCAAGGGGGACTCCGCTGGGCACGCACAGAAAGCCAGCCCAGGGTTTTGCCATCTGCAGAGAACTGATAAATAGCCCCTTGTCAGAGAGGTCGTGGGAATGAGACGCACGCGGCAGAAGCAGGGATCAGCTTCTCCAGAAGCAGCAATCTACGGGAACGCTGAGTCTTTTCACACAGCTGGCTGCAGCTTTAAGGTCAAAAACATAAAGAAAGTCTGCACTGCAGGCATCATTCCAGTTGAGTTCTGCCTAATACAAAATCCTCCTCTTCCTTTGCCTTCACGTGGAAGCACTTATTTTTCACATAGCATGCAACCATACAACAGCCAGTTCATCTCCTGCCCCCCTCACTTCAGTTCCCACTCTGTTGGGCTGGACCAAATCATACATATTGAAGAAATCTAAAAATACTAAAGCTCCAGAGCTATTTTTCCTAATCATCTAATTACAACAGAATCTTCTCCCACGTATTACGTGGCATGTAAAGGAAATCTAAGGATATACCTAAAGCTCCAGCCGAACAGAAGAATTTCTGAGAGCATTCATAAACCAATCTGAGCTACGAACATGTGTATCTGGAACAGCTTCAGCTGATAAAAATGAAATCCTCTTTTGAGTAACGCATCAAGTGTGGTGTGCAAGATTATATACAGCATTTACCAACCCAGCCTATTTTCTACGTTGTTCACACGAGGAATGATCATCATTATGATGGGACATAATAGGATGCCCTCTTGACGCTGATGTAGTTTATTTTGAAACAGTTTATATATACCCACCTTCGCTTCATTCTGCCTAGAAGAGTCTAAGGAGCAGAGAGTCATAAGGACTTGTGACAACGGGGTCAGAGCTGGGGAAAACATGCCCATAGGGAAGGAGCAGCAGCATGCTTTGGGACGTGTAGCTCTGCCTTTCCAGCCCTCCGCTCACAAACCTCTTCAAAGCCCACCAGACCATGGAGGGCTCAGTCTTTTTCATCCTTTCATTACTGGACCATTTTCCTTATCCACTCTGCTCAGGGAAACAGACGTGTTCTTAATAAGATGCCTTCCCCTGTAGATAGTTCACCTTTCCTTACCGCTCCTCCAAACAAGCAATCCAGCATGAGATGGGGAGAAAATGACGGGTTAATTTTAAGTAATTAGTGAATAAAGCATGTACATACAGGAAAACAGGAATAACCCTACTGTTACATGCAGAGCTGCAAAGAACCTGCCCATATCGCTCCCAGCCAACCACCATTACCAATCACCCCCCAATCACTGGCTTTAATAGTTTATAATCCGTTACAAAATTCCTTCCAACACTTTCCCAAGGGGGACAGGGAACATCTGTGGGGGGACCCCAGGGAGTCCACAGGGAGGAGCCCAGGAGCGGACCTGCCCTCCACCACCCGCACGCCCTGGCTCAGCCTGAACCCAGATGTTCAGCACAAGACTTCTGAAACAAAGACAATTTCAGTCCTGCGTTCCCAAAATCCTAAAAATTAACTTCCTCTGAAAATGGGAAAGGGCAGAACAGGGCAGCCCACCAAGCACTCGCTTGCCAGGGCTGTATTTTACGCTGTCCAGGTAAGTTTTTCTGCAAGATGCTCAGCAGCTCTGCAAGTGCAGCTGCAGATGAGCAGCGATGCCTGTCCAGGCCAGCTTGTGGCATACGCATACAGAAATGTACTCCAGCCCCCAGGGATTTCACAGATTTACTATCGGTGAAGGGCAATAATCACTAAAGGAGGAGCAATTATTCCCAAATCATTTAGGATTTAAAAAATCATTGGCAAGAAGATAGAGGTCAAAAGGTGTACTGTCAAGGGAAATAAAAAAACCTCTACCTGTCAAACCTGGGTTTAACTTCCTCTCTGACTGCAATATGGTAAGAAGAGAGACAAAGATATAAAACTGAAAGGTCACATACCCACTGAAGGCAAGAATTAAAAGATGCACGTTTGTGTTCACATTTTACAGAGGGAGCACCCCATTAATCTGTTCAATTATTCTGTGGAAGTTACTTTTTTTATATTGGCTAAAAATTTACTGAGAAGAAAGGCAAAAATGCAGCGAGACAGTCTCTCTGATTTTACAACAAATCATCAAAGAATTAAAATGGATGTAATTTATATTTTCCTACATCGTATAGCTAGTGCGAGACGGTGCATGTGGTTGGACACATACAGTAAATAACGACCACATGTGCCAAAGCTGAGTGAAGCCACTGCTTCTGAAGGGTCCCCATCAAACTCAACCCAGATCAGCAGTGACAGTGGAAGAAATGAACATGACCTCCAAGAATTTGGGGGTGGGAAGGCACAATATAATCCCCACTGGACCAATGTCTGTGGCATAGGAATCACCATCACAGTCAGCAATCTTACTGGTGGTGTCTGGGCCACAGAACTGGAGCTGAATGGAGGTGGGGACTGGCTCCTCTTACCCGCAGAAGCAGCCAACACTAAGAAGACTTCAGGGATGCTGGTAGGGTGGTGAGTGGGAACCTCGTGTATCTCGTGTCTGCAAACAGAGTTTTAATATTCACTAAAATCATAGAAAAACGTTTGAGCAGAAAAGGATCAGGTATGGTACTTTGGATGCTGAAGTCTGTGGAGGATGCAAATGAAGAGATGCACAGAAGGATGTGTGCAAACTTCAACAGAATATTTAACCCGGTGGATGTTTCTAGAGTCAAACATATTTATGCCTAAGTAAATTTTTGCTATAGGCTTAATAACCTTAATCAAGCTAAATGTGCCAGGGACATAAGGAACTAAAGCTTATACACAAAATCTTGATTAATGTATTAAACCCCGTTACAAAAGAGATATGACACATTTACTTTTCTCCCTATTCTCCTTGGCCCAACCAGTAATCTCCCAGGCTTCAGGATCCCATACCACTGTTAATTATGTTTCTACCTTGGAACGACTAGCTGTGCAAACATCAAACACGCAAAGGGCATCACATGTGGCCTCTGACCTGGGAGAAGCTGTACAACAAGGCGGGTGAAACAAATAAACTCATTAACCCTCCAGGGCAGATTTCCAAAGGCTGCAGGGTCAGCCA